TAGATCTCCTTTTCTCTTTCTCTCTCCCTCCCTCTTTCTGTGTCTCTCTTTCTTCTTTTGAAGGAGATCTCTACTAGAAGGAATGAATAGAAATGTGGAAATCATTGGGATCCAGAAGGTGCAGTTGCCTCAATTTATACTTGAACACACACAATACTAGGCTTCTTTCACTGCTGAACCAGTCTTCTAGGCACTGGCTAGTCCTTTGCTTGGCTCCTTTGCTTGGCTCTTCTTCCTCTTCCTTGCCTATCCTTGTCTCTTTCCATCTTGTCTTGTTTCCCTGTACAGTCAAATTTCTGGTCAAAGCTTTCCAGTTACTTCTTTGAAATATATTCCCTGATCCTCTAGACTTGGATTTTCCTGTTGCAAACTACCATCTCACCTTATATTTCCTTGTTAGGACACTCATGGAAGTTTATTGTAATTATTATTTTTTATCTAGTGTCTTCCTACCAGAATATGGGGAAGGATCTACTCAGGGACCATGGCTGTCTTTTTCTTAGTAGCACCAGCATAATGCTTAGCAGATACTAGGTATTCAAGTATTGATTAATGAACAAAAACCTAGAAAATTAACAAATAAGCAAACACATTATATACAGAGATGATTCTGTAGTTGGGGGAGCACTGTTGGCTAACAGTCACTAGTAGAGCAGAAATACGCTACTCAAAATAACATCAACATATAGAGGAAGTGGCATTTAAAAATACAAAGAAAAAATATGAATATAAAATGCAGAATACAAATTGGCATCGCAGTAATAGGATAAAATACTTCTAGATGCCTATTTTCCTGGGCTTTTCTCTGCCAACAACTCATATATCTGTTTCTTCCCTTAAGACTCAGTTTAAAACTATCCTTATTTATAATGAAGGCCTTATCTCAATATGCTGCTGTCTCACTGGTATTTAATCATCATATCCTTCCAGGTAGCATAAAAATAATTTCATCTTTGTTTTGCAGTTAATCATTTGTTGCTTTGCCATTTTCTCTAGTTCTATACACTTTTATTTTTTAACCCAACTATATTGAAAGGTTATTTAGAATCAAGCTAAGGTTTCTACTTATTTTATTTTCTTACATTTCCTTATCAAGAGCTGCCTAGCACAGCAATACACTGTGTCATACTTATGTGTTTGTTATCTGTTTTCCTCCCTAAACTGAGCTTCCCTTCCATGGAGGGATTTTATCTTGTAAGGATGTGACTAGGCACAGAATAAAAAACATTTATTGATGTGAAAGATAATGTGACTCAATAAGCAACATTGTGCTGCATCAAAAATAAAAGTAAGAAGCCAAACACAAATATTAAGAAGTGTCTTGCACAGACCCGTGAAGATGTGCTCTCCTTTATGACTATAATTTCTTCTTTGTTTTATGAGATACAGTGTCCTCACATTTGGGAGATACATTTAAGAAATAAACATTTTGTCCCGTTTTTTTTTGAAGCTAAAAAACTACCAATGTAGTTTCTTCTGGATTGTTGATAGTGTGAAATTGAATTTATATAATTTTTAAACATTACACCATGATATGATTGATACTATTTTCTAATTTCATAAAAGAATGACAATCAACATTAAAAATTTCCCTTTAATGACATATTTTTCATCCTGTATGACTTTCCTTACAATATAGAAGAATGATGACATAAATAATAATATATATTTAAAAGATGTAATTTCTAGCTGGATATGAAAATATTAATTTTTAAAGATTTTTTCTCAAAGTTAAGGTAATATTTTTCTTGAAAATTCAATAATCCTGAAATTAGGATCCAGTGAAGCAAAAATAAGACAAAGTTTAAGAATTTTTCTGCCCACTGCCACACAATTATTAGTATGTACAAAGAGAAAGATGTTTAAAAATAAATATATTTTTCTCCTAATAATTTTCTTATTTTCAAGTCCCTGTAGTCAAAACTTGGGTCATGATTTTGTTTTTTCGGCTGTATTTCTCCCTGAAGCCCCATTTGGGTACAATTTATTCGATGAGCAACTCTTTTTATTTTGGACCTGCCAATTTGCAAACCCATTTTTATATATTATGTTCACATTTAACATTCTCTCAAGTCTTGAGCATTGCTATCTACATATGTTCTTAGAAATATGCTAAGGTTTGTTTCAATAGTTAGTTTCAATACACTTATCATGACTTGTTTAAGAAAGAAAGGAATTAACATTCCTTAAAAACTGTTCTGCCATGATGTAAACCCTAGGATACACTATCTTGTCTTATGTATCATTCTCATTTTTCGATGTAAATGTATTATTATGCTTTTCAGATGAGGAAACTGAGCAAGGATAAAAATAGCTTATGACAAAACTATGCAAGGTGAGGGATCAGGATTTGAACCCTGGTCTAGATAGCCCAAACTTTAGTTTTTCTGTTACATCATACTAACACCCTAATTAATTTGGAAACTGGAGAGAAGGTTAACATTTTAAAGGAGAAGACATAAAATCTCCATCTCTTGATTTAATTCTTTCCCATTTGTGCAAATCATATTTTCCATCTGTTTGCAAAAATTTGTCACTGAGTTCTTGCCAAAGCTGCCCTACCCAATATAGCTAGAATACTTTCCCATCATTCTTTAATCTCTACTGCTGCCTACTATCCAACCCTCATCCCCAACTCCTCTACTCACATTAGCAATATCAAAAATGCCTGCAATTTCCTGGAAATGCTAGGGAGGCTGTTAAATATTATGGTGCTCTCAGTGGCTGAAATAGTATTTCTTCATTCGTTCTTTTAATATAAAATAGACTATTTTTCATGTGTGAACCAGCATTGCAAATCTAACTTTAACTCTCCAGGTTAGATTAAATTACTCTCTTCCTATCGGTTATGACTAATAATGAACGTTTAAAATGGAAGTTTTATTATTATATCACACTATTGTGTAATTTTAACTATTTTATTACTGTCAGTCGATCTCTTCCCATTTTCTTGTGTAACTCTGTAACTTCACGGGGGGAAACAGATACTCAAAAAATATCAAGTGTTAATGAATAAACATACTAAGTATAGTCACTATATTGCTAACCCACATAAACTGATAACTTTAGAGAAGAAATAACCCTTGAAGCAGTTGCAATTGGATTATATATATCAACACAGCAACTCCCTTTAAGTAAATTTGAAAATAGGAAACAACTAATATAACTGATAGGGAAACAGAATAAGTATTTCATATATGTGTGTGTGTGTGTGTATATATATCAAGCATATGGGGTATATATATTTACCACCTTGCATATTTTCCAATAGTTTGTAATATAGCATTTTTAGAGTAACCTTTCCAAGGAAGAAGGCTATAATGCTTAATTAGGATTGAAAAAGCACCATCCAATTTAATATATAAAATTTCGTTTTATCAAAATAATTAGATGGACAATCTATAATAAAAGCCTGTAAGTTTTATAAATTCCCAAAAATTAAAACAAGCTATACCTATTTAGTTAAATTATACAATATAAATTGAATTTAGGAAGAAAAGAAGTTAGGAAAATAAATAAAACTATTTTATCAAAATTGATGGTTTATGATATATTTATAACCTTAAATTCAGCTATAATTAAAAGATGACATTTTGTGTTAGAAGATTTTCACACCACAATGTTTCAAAATATTATCCTAAAGCAACTACTGTTAATTAGATGAATTCATAACATAGGAAAAAAAATTGTCTTTCAGACCATTGTAACAATAAGTAGGATATCTTGTAGGGTTAATTTCAAAGCAAAATGACACATCAATCAACCTGAAAAATCTTACATGCAACATTTTCAATTTTCCAGCATTATTTATTGATTCTTAGATGATGACTTGGATATAAATGTTGAAATAGCTCCACAGGAGTTAAAGTTCTTTATCCACCCCCATGAATTCCAGGCCATGTTTCAATGGTTCACATGACTATTAATGTTATACTAGACTAATATATGCTGCAGTAATTAATATCTATCTAAAACTTGAACTACTAGTAATATGGTAACTTTGTCTCATATTTTCTGAAAATGTTTGCATTTCATCGAGTCTATCTTTTTTTCCTGTGAGTACAACCATCCTCTCTTACCATGAATCCTCATTTTGGATCAGAATATATAGTAACTGTCACTTATACAGATATCAACATTTCACCTCTGTAGGAAAGATGACTAGTAATAGTAGTTTGTTTGGTACTAGTAGTTTAATGGAGCTTCCTGTTTGTAGGTTACTTATACATTAACACTCTTTGTTTATGTAATATATTCAGCAAGAAATCCAAAGCAGTTTAGAAATGTCAATTGTTTAAATTTTACAGTTAAAATTTTAAAAGGATTCGAAAAAGATTATGGTTTTGGCTCTGGAAATTAAATCAACTGTAAATGAGATATTCCACACATAAAACTCTTTTGGGGGCTATTATCAGAGTCATTGCAGGTTTCTCCCCAAGGCTCTTTCTAGTTTCCTGATCTTTAAGCAGCACAGGTGAGTCCTGATCACTTGATACAGAGCCGCACATCTTTGGCTCAATTTTACCATCAAAGAAATAAAGGCAAGCAACATATCATTTTTTTTCAATTAATCCACACACATTAATTTGTTTTTACATATTCAAGAATGCTATCCATATTGACTTTGTCTAATTCCTAGTTTAGCAAAAGAAAAACAAGAAACTACATTGGAAATTCAATAGCATTTTGAAGTAGGATTTATATTGGGTTGACTTTAGCGCTGTTTGAGATATTAGACATTATTTTTCAAGGGCCTGAGTATTGTTCCAAAGAGACAGAAATATTAGTCATACCTAGCCCATAATAAGTGTTGAAAAATACTTACTGAATCAACGAAAAAAAGAGAATCATCTTAAGGAACTTCTCTTGGAAGCTACTGACATTTTCCATTTAAACACATAGCAAGAAGTTGGTTATCTTTTAGATGGATTTAAGGTCTTCTAATTGGGAGCAGATCTGTTATGGGACGACTCTTCACTGTTCTGAAGTAGTTCACTCACCTCTTTAGGTGCATCAGCTTCAATGAATTCAGAATAAATCATCCTGGCTTTGGAAGCAATTTTTTCTGCATTTTTCGTTTTCTTAAAGTCTTCACAGGCAAGCCAGAACTCAACATTTTCTTCACTAAACTCTGATTTTAGAAATGTTCGAAAAGCATCTAGACCAGCTATGAAATATATGAGAAAGAGTTTTGTATAATAGCATACAGAGTAGTAATATGACCAAAATGAGTACATTGTATAGTATGAGCAGTTACTGGGTGTTCAGTGGCAAATATTGATCATTCCACCTAAATGTAATGTATGTTTTAGTTGCTAACTTTAGAAAATTTTATTTTGGATCAGTAATTGTTAACATATATATACACACAAAACATATGTATATATGTATATCTATTTCTACAATTAGCTTCATTAACAAAGAAAACCTGTACTTTTTTCTTTCTGTATTTGAGAAATCTAGAAGTCATGTTTAGGAGATCTTGATGGTAGTTACTTCACAGGAAGCCCCACGGATTTTGCTTTTAAGATTTATTGCACTAAGCTCAGGTCATATTAATGATGTTATACTAAATTCAGGGTAAAAATATCTTGTTGCTATGAGTTGGTGCAGAAACAAAATATGATGCTAAAGTGTTAAATTGTATTGGTTTGGGCTTAAAGCAAAGGAGGAAGCACTAGCTTTTATTAGTTTTGGGTAAATATATAGGCCAACTCAGTCTCAAAACCAAGAAAGTAACTGGCAACATATTTGATGTGAATGCTTCTCCCCTTTATGTGGCAACAAGCAACTTTAATTCCATAAGGTAAATACAAATACGTAGGGTTTTTCTCCAATGTTGCTTTAAGCAAAACATTGGTGCCTCCCATTCTCCCTTGTGGTACCTGTTTATGGTATTCCTCCTCCTCCCAGGTATTATCCTTAGCATGTACTTCTCCAGAAACTTTAGATCAGGAACTGCGAATGGACTCACTTATTCACAGGCATGTTTACTTTGGCTTGATTATGATATGCTCTTTTAAATGCAATTAACAACAGGCAGGGCTTTCAGTCTGTGATTTCCATGAGTCTCGCCTCTTCCCCTTATCTTACTTTCAGTCAAATTTACACTTATATCCCTTACTCCTAAAGATATTTGATATTGTGACCACTTGTTTAGACCCTTCCTTCTCTATTTTCCTCATCAAAATGGGCCAGGAAACATTCTTCTTTGGTATACCCAGAGCTTATGTGAGAAGGTAAGTGCCTCTGGTTAGACAACAGGTCAGAAAGATCATTGTCATATTCCCACTGTGGACAAAACTAAACCAATACATTTAGGTCATGTTATTCAGTGTCACAGTTTGTACCCTTTTTCTGGCTGTCTCTATTTTGAGAATGTATATCTCTCTGAGGAGTAAAACATGTCAGCACTTTTGCCACTCAGAGAAATTTGCCTTCCAAAACGTTGGTGGTTGACTCCTCCACCTGCCAGGGAGGCCTCCTTTGCATGTGCTCCAAGCAGCTGCTCCTTTCCTGCAGGCGGAGAGAGTTAATCCTTCAAGTTCCAAAGTATAGGAGGAGTAAGTTTATGGAAAAGCAGGGGATAGGCCAAATTGGCTACAGAAATAGAAAGCAATGAGAAAAGTGAATGAAAAGAGGCTTAAGTTCGTTGTTCATGGGTTGCTGCCTGCAGAATGTAAAAGTGAAGTTTATAAAGATAAAGTAGAAAAGGACTTTCTGGAGCAGAATTAAAGTGTCTAAAAACACTGTATTAAAATAGATTTAACGGATTTTTTTTTTAAAGTTATTTGAAATAAGTTTGAAATAACAAGTCATTGCAAAGGGTTATCAGGTACCAATTAACATTCTTGGTTGAAATACTGGAGAGTGTGGATGCAGTTAATATATGAGCACTATATAAAAATTCAATTAACTTCACGTTCCTTCCATTTAAAAATACATTCAAGAAGTTTCTGTGACACCAATTTAGGTTATAAAAATCCTCTTAGTAATACTCAATTAAAATTTTTCTTGAATTCAGTTCAAACAATGATGAAATTTCAGAGATCTAAACAGAATTTATGCTAAGATGTATTTTTGTGTAGAGAATAAAGTGTTCTTTAATAATACAGAAAGAAAGAATATTGTAGATTCATGCCTGGCAATATTTTATATGTGCATCATCAAGGCATATGGAGCTTCTCCCTAGGAGGATTTTCTAAATACATCCCAGAGAGATGGGATGTTAGAGATCAAGATACAATTATTATTTCCCCCTGCTCTCCACTTTTAACGATGGGCTACTCTCAACTAAAAATTAATATCTTTCCTCTTCCCATAGCTTGATTCAGGACCCAATGGAACAAAATAAACAACTTAAACAACTAAACCTGGGGCTAGTTATCTCTGTCTTGAACATGATATTTTGTTGATTTACTCTCCTATACATACAGTTTGAATGTTCAAAAGATGCCAAATGATTTTAAAGTAATATGCTACATAAAATTAAACTTACTATCTGAGGGCACTCTCCACAGAATGGAATGCTTACTGGCTAGTATCAACAAAGGGTGTTAAATGGAATATGTCAGCATTATGGGGTGAAAACTAGGCTAATGCCTATGCTTAGTACATGCAAAGTATGTCTGCAAATCAACAAAAACAACTAGGTAATTTGGTGAGTTCTTTAGCTGTTTAAAGCATTAAAAAGCATTCATACTTTGCCATTTCTCTGGTATTATAAAAAGCAAAAACCAAACAACTGTTCAGATGCCTATATGACTTTTCCATTTCATGCGGGAATGAAATACAAAATTGCAGAAGATATGCAGAGGAACGAGTTTGCCTTCATCTCACCCTTCCTGCCTCTCCTCTATAGTATTGTTGTATGGACTTCCACTACTCCGAAGCCTTCTGGGTCACAACACGCAGAGATGATTCAGTAAGCCCTTTAGCAAACTTGATCTGTCCCATTAGTTATACACTTAAGGAGAAAGAAAATACGCCATTTGACACTTAATAAACTGCAGTTCCACAATCTCATCTCTTCAATATATGCTCAGGTGGATTCTGGAAGTTCTGTTGATTCTTTGATGTTTATACTTTAAAAATTAGTCACTTAGAAATAATATGTTTATAGTATCTAAATTCATCTAAGTCAATCTAACTTTATACATAAATAAGCAGCTGTGAAGAATTTATTCAGGTCTATTGTGTTTTATATTTTTCTAATATTCTAATTTTTATTCTTCATGAATTTAAAATAAAATGCCATTTGATTTATACAAATAATACTATATTATAAACATTTTCTCTATATGTTTCACAGTGCCATTTTTCCCCTTTCAGATGAGATAGAACTGCAGATTATTTGTAACACAAGCAGAAGTTATACCTTTGTAAATGATTATTTTGTATATAAGTTGTGTTGACTAAGATGTCTTATTAAAGACTAGGATGTTTTATTTATAATTGGCCAAAATTACCTTACTGAACCACTCTATCAATTATAAATATATATTCACACATATACATAATTAATACAAACGTATACCTTTAAATATGTTTTTATATTCACTGAAAGTGAGAATAACACAGTTGATATAAAGTACTTTAAAATACCTTTTGTTTTGGCCAACTGTACATATGAAACAAGTGATTTATTTAAATTTTCAACTTTTTCAACAGTTTGTATGTTTCTTTCAACTTATACCAAAGGCAGTCATGATGTACATCAAATTATAGTGAGCCAGCTGGGTGCAGTGGCTCGTGCCTGTAATCCTAGCACTTTGGGAGGTGAAGGCAGGGCTAGAGTCAATGCGGAGGAATCATGAAGTTCTGAGAGCACGAGAAACCTAAAAAAAAGCCACATATTTGGAGCTCTGAAATCCTATCTCCTACTAAAAATGCCAAATATTGTTATGCGTGAGGTTGGATAAACCTCTTGTTCAATACCAGTGCGAGTAATTTTAGTCTGTTAATCAGACGTGGCGGTAAGACCTCCGCAGTCTACATTGGTGAGACTGGGCAGGAGCAGAATAACACTCCTAATATAGAAAAAACACTGCATTCAAAATGTAGAAGGAAGTTGGAGAAAGGCCATTTGCTATGGATAGAGTGCCAGCGCATCGATGACAGGCACGTTATAATAACTGAATTAACTAGGTCAGGACCATGTCATCTTGAGTCGTATAATTGCAACCTTTGCGTGCCTCAAAGAGCAATAAATACATATAATGAATGTAGTTTGTTGGTGTATTGAGGTTTGGTGTTTACTCATTCTGTAGCTTTTCTGTTATTTCTTATTTAAACAGTTATGCTTGGCTGTGTAATATTTATAAAAATATACAAATTATTTGGAAATTTTTTGTTTGGTACATTCGTGTAATATATTACATTGCCTGTTTTATTACTAACCATTAATTTAATGTTTGTTGTATATTATTATTGAGGTGTGTGACATACTATAATATAATTAAATGGAAGTAGAGATTGTAATTATCCTAGAAAATTTAGGAATGGGACATAAGTTTGTATCGATTGCTGGGTATTTTTCATATTTTTGCTTGGGCGATTTCTCATCCTATAGGGCTGGCACATAGAGAGTTCTCTACCAGCCGTAGATATTGTGGACCTATGCCCAGACATCATTCTATAATAGGGAATTTGGCGGTTGGGATAGAGAATCATCGTGAGAGACCAGGAAGTATTCGTATTATATCCTAGAACCTCTTGTAATTTTTATTTAGGGATTGGGTAAAACAGTGTATGGTATTGAAATTAAAATGAATTAAAACTTAAGGGAAAATGGTAAAGAAGATTCTGCTGGCCAACGTGGTGAAAGAGCCACTGGTCTCTACTAAAAATAGAAAAATTAACCGAGTATGATGGTGCCATATCTGTTAATCTGAGCTACTCAGGAGGGCTCGAAGCCAGCAAGAGAATCGCTTGAACCTCAGAAGGTGGCACGTTTTTGCAGTGACTGAGATCATCGCCCTGCACTCAGCCTGATTGACAGAGTCAGACCTCTGTATTAGAAATAAAATTTAAAAAAGAAAAGTTAAAGTAAGTCTAAGGAAATGGAAAACTTCACTTGCTAGTTTGAATTTTCCTTTTGTTTTAATGTACAGAGTTCCTATAAACTTATTTTAGACCCAACTTGATTCCATTTAGATTTTGGATTTTTATGAATTTATGATCATTAAGAATTTTATACTTCATTGACTAAACTCATACTTTATGATATGTTACCAACTTTCAGAATTTAATTATTTATATTTAATTATTGTATTTTAAAGCCTATTATTAGTTAGATCTTACCTTGGTTGGCTAAAAGTGTGTCCATATTTTCAGACCATGTCATTGCTTCCGTAGTTTGTGACCTGTAGAAACAGCATCTACCCTTGACAATAGCATTGTGATCTTTCTCTTCTCTAACCAATAGTAATATCTGAGTTATGTGTATTTTGAATTACATCATTCAAATGAACTTCATGCTGCTAATCAAATAGTCAAACGTCAAAAAGTTATATAGTGCTATTTACAGTAGATAGCTATGGTGACATAAATTGGGATGTAATTGGACATCAGCAAATTTTTAATCTAGCTGACAGTGTTAATAATATTTGAAAATTCTTAAATTCTAATAATGGCATAAGAGATTGGTTCTGTGGATCAATGGTGAATTTCTTTTCAACTATGAGTATTTTTTGTATGTATAAATTAACAAATATGATTATTTGTTAATTTATGTGACATTACTCTAGTCAAAATTTATATTAGCAAAGGTGATGAATAAACTACTTTCTAAGTTTTTATGGTGTAAAGATTATTTCATAATTATGCATCTCAAAAAAGTTCAAAAAAGTTTTAAGAATTTCTAGCATGTGATGAACTTGAAAACATTTTGTTCATAATATTTCAAAAAGTCTTTACCTACTCTGAGGCAGCCTTTATTTCTCTTTAGACTGGTATACTTCTAGTTCTGAGCTGATTTATTTAAATCTAGGAATCTGTCAAGACAGAGTAATATCTTTTCCAAAGCAGTCAAAAAATTTATAGACTTAAGTCTTCTGAAGAAGGTTACTTCTGGGGATGTGATGTAGAAATAATAAATCAGGTTTAAGATAGAAATTTTCTGAGATGCAAATATATATTATTCCCCTTAATAAATAAACAAAGATCCTGATGAAATAAGCCCCTATTCGTAGAAAGCATCTACTGCCCAGAAATAAAACCACATTGGATTATGTAGCTGTGATGTGCAAATAACTTAGTTGTGGAAAGAGAGGGTCCAATTTAAAGTTTGTGTTGAAATTATCAATAATAAAATAGAGAAAAACTCATATATCGCAATTCTTATAAAACTTTTGTATTTGCATGGCAAGATGATTAATCTTAAATATGCTAGTGTGAAATGATTCCTTTGCTTTTGTATTACTTCTTTAATTTGCTGCAGTTTTTATAGTTTTTCCTCTACTGATGCAGTTGTAGTTGCATCTTCAGTTAATAATGGTCATCCTCATTGAGGACACACAGAGAGGGCAATATAGCTAAGAATTCATTTTACTATTTTCCATTACTCACATTTCCAATCTCAAATTTCCTTCTCCTGTTGTAAGCAGCTGACTTTCCTTTCTTCCTTGACTTACTAAATCTTGGGGACACAAATTACCTGTGAAACCATTTGGAAATAGTGCTTTTTTTCATTCAAGTGGACACAAAATTTGGGTTGTTCAGTTTCTGTCTTTCATAAATGGAGGATGAGACACAATCCTACATTTAATTTTACATTGAAGAGATTTTGTGTACTCTATAGCCTGTTACTCAAATAAGCTTATGTTATATTTCATGTAACTCAAATATTAGATCTCGTAGGAATTCTAAAGTTATATGGTCACTTAAAATACATATGCTTAAAAATATTCCTGTTTGTATACTAAAATTTGGTTGCAAGCAGGGTATTCAAATTAAAGCTACTTAGACCTGTGGAACATATGCTAATGAATAGGATAGAGAGGAGTCTGGCCATGCAGAATGCCCATTTTGAATGAGGAACAGGCATCCAGGAAAAAACAGTGAAAAATAAAATCTAGACAAATTCATTCAAAGATGAACATTTATATTCCCATTAGTATGTAAGTTATCTGACGACAGGACTAAATGTTATTTTCTAGCACCAAGAACAGTGTTCCTGGTCTATGAAATATTAAACATATTAACAAACAATAGATGACCAAACCCCATATATTGACACATATTAAAGCCTTCAGTGGAAGATGGTAAATGTCCTCCAAGATGCTGATAAATTACAATGATAAAAAGTATTGAAAGGTATAGCTAAATTGTATTAGCTTCGAAGACATAGGGTGTTCTGGGCAAGAAAAGACAAAAAATAATGTGAACACATCACTGGATCATCATGAGGTATGTGAGGTTGGAGAGAATGACCGACATCCATTCTAGAAGGCAGTGTCCTTTAAGGACAGACAGGTTTTACTTAAGCCAAAAGCAAAAAGGCATATTCCATGAAGATCTTTTTGGATATAAAGGAGTATTTATAGAATGAAGGTGTTTACATAAATAATAGCTATTTGTATTGTCTTCATTAATGTAGAGAAACAGTAAAAGAAAGAAAGCAAAGTGGGGGAGATGCTGTAGAACCAAGGATAAAAGAAAAATTCCTAATGTTTTGAATTACAGAGAGAGGCTAAAATGTTATAGATATTTGATAGATATAGACATGGAATACTATAGATAATAGAACTAGGGATATGGGCATATCCTAGTATTAATCAAGGTCCACAAAATGCTGACATTGTTTTAAAGAGAAGAAATTGCCCATCAGCTCTGAAGGAGTACCTCTGCTGGTATGTAACAATGCCTCGAATGCCCTCAGTTCATTCCTTCAGAGCCTATTTCTTATCCAGAAGGTTACATTTTGACTATCTGAGATGTTGAAAGAGTTGGAGGTAACACAGCATTTACTTTTCAGAAATTAGGTGAAATGTAACTATTTTAAGGAGTAATGCTTGTTTGTTGCCAGTTAAAATAGTAAAATTTGGGGTTTCTTGTAATTCTGCGGAAGAGCAAATTGATGGTATCTATGAATAAACTAAATACATTATTTATAATAGCACCAAAATGCACAACTATGTATTGGATGTTTACAATGTATACCACATTGTGCTAAGCATATCATATACTTTATTTCATTTAACCTTGAAAATAATAGTCTGTTTTATTCCAATATTACCAATGAGTAAAGAGGCTCAGAGATACAAATAAGTAGTGCAATATTCCACAGACAGTAATGGCCAGAGTTAGAATTGAAACACAAGTGTGTCTGCTTTAACCCAGATTATTTCATACTTCTTAAATAGATAAGTTAATACATATATGTTTGTACTTAATTCATGTTTTATAACATTTATAATAACTATCTGAAAAGTTATTTTTTCTGCAATAGAGATTTATCATACTTCATAGAAATATTATTTTTCCTCTAAATAATAGTTAAATTGTGGTAACTGGCTGCTCAATTGAAAGTTTACACGAAACAGAGATTCTTAAAGCTTATACACTATCAGATAAAAATAGGGCATTTCTTATGGTAGATGGGAGTAAGAAATATCACTTTCTGTTTTTAAAAACTGTAACTATATGCATGTTAAGAAAGAAATCTATTGAATAAAAGTTGGGGAAAAAAGAGGGTGGTTGATTTTAAACTCTACTGACTTGGTTGACTTTTACTTGATATGTGCTATCTGAAAAAAATGGACAATGGCCACTCCCTCATTTCTTTTTTTCTTCCTTTTATTGAGTTTTAACAGAAGTTTTGTCTGGCTCTTTTCATTTCTGTGTATATTTACTGTAAAATTGTGATGCATAATCAGAGTAAGGTTTTGTTTGTGTATGATTTGCCATGAAAAGTCACTGTCTATCTGAAGCCAAAATTACACTTAGTATTTCATGGGGTTTTGGCTGATTTCCTTTCTATTTTCTTCATTAAGCAAGTGCCATCAAGGCCAGCAGTACCCATATTATATGTCCAGAGAAGAGCCAGGCCAGATGGGAACTGCATGAAAGCTACCAGTTATCTTGCTAATTGTGCCAGCTAGAACCAGTTGTATTGCATTAAAAAATGTGGAATCCAACAACTTAGCTGTTCACACTCAATTAGCAGTGTGCTGGAGAATGGAAAATTCAAGCAAGGAGTCCATGTGCTCCAGGAAGTGACAGCTGCTTCCTTACCCAGCCCTTAATATCCATGTAAAAATTTTCAATAAACATTGTGATAATAATTTTTGCAAGGATCATGTATATGTTATGTCTCTAATCCATCTCATAATTTTTTTAAAAATTACATAAAGAAAGCACAATGGTCTCTCTCCACTTTATAACCTTCCTTTAGCCCACATAAAGAATAAATTGCAAAAGTAAACCACAAATTCTTGATATGTTTTCGAAAAGAAGAAATCAATAGAGAAAGGAGAAAAAATCAGGAAGAAAGACAACAATTAGTGTATATATCATAAATGAGGGAAATAAAACATCGAGACTAAAGAAGACTCAAGTGTTTCATTTGTACATCTTCGGAGATAAAAATAGCTGGAAACGGCAACTCACTTCACTGGCATTTTTCGTTCCACTGTCTGTCACAGATGATGCCGAGTTTCTCTTTCTGACTGATCTTCAAGCTGAAGGTAATGTGACAGCAGGAACATTACAATTAGTATGCAAATACCTATCCCCTGGGTTACAAATTGGCATTCTTTAAATCCTGCTATTCTCAGCTTTTTTGTTTTTGTTATTAACTTTTCATTGGTCAAAGCACTTAAACTTCTAAGTAATAAATAACTCTGAATAAATGTGACATTTCTCTGAGTCTGTGGCATAATTGAAATAAATTCCATCTGAAAGTTTGTTGTCTGAAGTTCATATTCATCTGCTTATAAGACAACTATTGTTCACAGGAGGTTAAATCAATATATATTAAGATATACATATTTGATATATATATAATTAATATTCACCTTTGAGTCTTTAATCTGCCTAAAAGATCATTTTGTTTTCCTTTGTTCTTTGATTTTCAGAAAATCTGAGGAAGGCTCTACATTTAATATACTTATCTTAAACAACTATATATGTTTAAGCAATTTTATTCATGAACTAAAATGTTCTAATATAAGACATTGCAATTTTCTTTGAAATTTATGCAGGTTTTATGGCTTAATAACATATATTTCTCTCTTTTAACCATGGATGTCATGTCATTTTATGCCAATATTTATGCAATGCAATGTTTAATGTAATAAGGCTAATATATTTATCAAAACAAAGACCATATATTGGCAATTTTAATTATAGTCAAAGTTTTATAACTTCATGCTTTGTCAAGCTTTTATCTCAATGTAATACAGTTCTTTGGTGGTAAAATTCAACTGGTATGTGTTTATGACCCTCAATGTCAATTAAAGACTATTGAAAGATTGACAGTTTTTCAGGTGGGAGAAAGAAAGGAGTCAGAAGAAGGTAGAAAATGTTCTTCTCCTTGACTTAGCATGGAAGTACCCTAGTTGATCTGTAGAAATGGTTAGTATGAGTGGCCCTGGACTAATGAAACTGAGAGAAGTAGAAGAAATGACCTAAAAAGTCAGTGCATCATTAAGAAGGGAAATCATCAATTAGCTCAATCCCTTTTGTTAATTCAAGCTCCATTAAGTAATGTTCTTATGATAAGCAAAAACTGAATCATTAAACATATTTTGACTTTTTGTTTTGCTCAGGGGGGATAATGAAGTATTCATTTTATAATATATGCTTGAAAATAGTACAGTTTGGAAAATACACTGTCAAAATTTAAAGACCCTCTTGGTAAAACAAAAACATGCACAGTCTTTAAGAAATAGGAGCCAGGGATAGGCTCCTATTTCTTATTTGAGTTTAGTGCAATTGCAAGGATGCTTTTTCTCATAAATCCTTCCACAAACCACAATTATTACTTGTTTAGTGTGCACTTTCCATTCCTTTCAATCTTCTTTTCATTGTTTAAAAAACAAGTCAGAATTAGATTTTATTTATCAAAATAAATCATAATACAATGAGCAGGTGAGGAAATAAGCTTTCTTATTAGGTGGAATGATGCTTTATAGCATTCAATGTATCTTGACAAAAGAATGCAATATAGATACTGTTGGGACATCTAAATACCATCAGCTTTCAGTCCAATGAGTTTAGGCTCCATTCTCAGAACTTATGCCCGGTGTGATAAGCTAAGTATACAACCCTCCCCTGAAAAGATGTCTGTGTCCTAATGCCTGGAACATGTGAATATAGTACTTTATGTGACAAAAGAGAAGTTGATTATCCTAGATTATCCTGGTAGACTGGGTGTAATGATAAGGGACCTTTTTAGAGGGGAGAAAGGAGGGTTAATGTCTAGTAGTAGGATATTTCAGGATGAAAACAAGATGTTGGAGTGATACGAGTAAGGGTTAAGAGTCAAGGAACGTAGGTGGCCTCTAGAAGCTGAAAAAGGCAGGGAAAGAGGTAGCCTCCTCAAAGCCTCCAGAAGCAGCTGGCCATGCTAATACCTTGATTTTGACCCAGTGAGACTGATTTTGGACTTCTGGTCCTGATATGGGTTGGCTGTGTCCCCATCCAAATCTCATCTTGAATTGTAGCTCCCATAATTCTCAGGTATTGTGGGAGGTACCTGGTGGGAGCTAACTGAATCATGGGGGCGGTTTCCCCCATACTGTTCTTGTGGTAGTGAATAAGTCTCATGAGATCTAATAATTTCATATGGGGTTTACCCTTTTGGTTGGCTCTTTCTCCCTTGTCTGCCGCCATGTAAAATGTGCCTTTCAGCAGCTGTGATTGTGAGGCCTGCCCAGCCAGGTGGAACTGTGAGTCCATGAAACCTCTTTTTCTTTATAAATTACCGAGTCTCAGGTATGTCTTTATCAGCAGCATGAGAACAGACTAATACAGGTCCCCTGGACTCTGAGATAATAAATGTATATTGTTTAAGCAACTAAGTTAGTGGCAGTTTTTTACAACAGCAATAGAAAATGAATACATCTAGGGAACTCCCCTCTTCAAAACCTTCCTTAGAAGAAGGGAGGTCAATAATAAAATAGGCATAAATTTTGAGTCAAGAGTAACAAGCTCATATGCAAATATGGATTCTTCATCCTGGACAATAACCTTGACCTTTCTCAGTCTCTTTGCTACTGATAGTACTGATAATACCTATCTCACAAAGTTACTGTGTGAAACTGAAAGAAAATATAGCAAGCCAACACATCTTACATAGGATTATTTATATATGCTTATTTATTTTGTTTCTTTTCTCCTCATTTGACATTCACAGAACCATGGTTAAGATAATAATATGGGAGATCTTATGGACAGTACTGTCATGCAATCAATGGGAATTTCTGTGGAAAGATATGAGATTTATTCTGCAATATTTTAAAATACTTGTACAAGAAATCATAGGTGCTGTAGGAATTCAAAACTTTAATCAGACAGTATAAAATTGGTCATTCTGGATAATTAACATGATGAGAGTATGTGTGGAATAATTGGAAGACTGAGAGGCAGATGGGAAAGTTAAAGATTATGTTTAACTCCATAATATATATGATATATATAAACATATATAAATATATAAATTTTATTTGTCAGTTACAAAATTAACTAGTTTAAAAGGTAAAGGGGAATTAGCAGAATCATGGAAGGTATTTCTTTTTATTTTCAGTTTATGGGTTAAGTTCATGACACAAATTATACTCGTAAACCACTTTAGAGCTGTAATATTTTTGGAAACTGGACTCTGCAGTCAACTTTCTAGTTTAAAAAGTAACATAGTTTTTTTCTCCTTGAAATTGCAAAACAAAGTTTAAGAACATTTTTAAAAAGTATAGTAAACTGTTCCAAACATGAGAGAACAAGGGTGGCGATAGATGGATGGAACAGTAAACATCAGTGGTATTATGTCTCAGCAGAGGAGATGGGGTTAAGAGGGTCAGAGGAACAGATTTCAAATCTGGTAACTTGAAAGAATGGTGATTCCACTCATGATCATGGCAATCCATTAAAAAAACAAGGTTAGGAAAATCAATACATAAAAAAAGTTTAGAGATATGTAGAACGTTTAGACACAGTTTGCTTAACTTTCCTGTCAGAGGTCATAGTAATTTTATAGGCATATTCAAAGACAATATAGAGCATTTAAATCTACATGAAACCCCTCTATTAACCTAAGAAACTACTGCTATTTATACTTCATCATTAAAGGTAGGATAAAAAAATTAATACGAATTTAATTCTGGTACTTGCATAATTTAAGCAAAAGTATATTTTATCTTGATACAAGTGCTAAACAATGTTCATTAAAAAAAAATGCTGATTTGATTGTATGACATCCAAGTGAGAATGTCATGAAAGATTTGTGCAAAAAACACCATAGCAGTTAAAATAACTGAGCATTTTAATCAATAATAGTTAAAATGCTTCAGACATATGTGTCAGAAACTTTCTGAGCATTATCTCTTTGGTTATTATTCAATGAGATAGTCAATATTTTTATTCATATTTTAAATATGAGGAAACTAAAACTCAAAGAGGCTAAATAACTTGCTTAGGCTTGTATAACTAGAAAGGAGAAGGGCTGGAGCAAGACTGAGTGGGGGCAATTTGGTATTTAAGTGGTAGTGATAGTTAAATCTGTTAGATTTAGTTTATCAGGTGAAATGACAGAGAAAAATGGAGCTGAGAACTGAGGGCTTAAATGTTCATTTATTCAATAAATATTTAAATACTTCAGTGACTGCTGAATGTAGAGTAACACTTATATTTTAGGAATAGAAAAGGGAAATGAACTAGGGATGAAGATTTAATGCAATAAGCCAGAGAAAAGCTAAGGGTACAGAGTGGCATGGAATTTCCTTTAAAAACACTGTTCACAGCCTTTTGGGAAGAAGAAAGAATGATCAAGAGGTCAGATGACAGACAGGTTAAGGAGAATGATGAGTGATAAAATACTGTGAAATTTGTTAAGATGGTCTCTTGCACAGGTCACAGCAAAGGAGATCAACAAGAATGAGATTAGATGAGCAGGACAGTTCACCACAAAATCACACTGATTGTTATTTGCCCATATTATGTTTCTATTCAAATTATAATAGGAAAGGAAAGATTAATTTTTTTTTACAATTGTCTTCTTAGATTTATATAATAGGGTTATATAAGTGGTTTATTTTAGGACTAAATAATTTAAAAGTTAATTTTCTTTTTATAAACAAATGGGAAAAGAAAATTATATTTTCTTGATTCTGCTTTGCCTCAAGTTACTGCTATATGAGGTTCAATTTATAAAGCAATGAGCCTGAGTTGTGTATGGTTCATCAATTATTTCTGAGAGCAGTTCTAATGGAGAAGTTAGAAATGTTTTGAGCAATGACAATACCGCTGAAATGTGTCTGATCTCCCCAAGTGGCTGCTTGGAAATATAACGCTCATTTGGACGTATAGTTCTTAGTATGCTTGTTGATAAATTGGTCGCATTACTTGCTAGTCACACTTCGTCACTGTATGTCCTAAATGTATTTTCTTTGTTTTCTTAGAACATGTACTGTCATTGATAAAGAAATATCTGCCTTAGCAAAATAAAATATTTAGAAGTTCAAGA